CGGGCTCCCTGCTCCGCGGGAAGCCTGCTTCTCCCTCTGCCACTCCCCCTGCTTGTGTTCCCTCTCTCGCTGTGTCTCTGTCGGGTAAATAAATAAAATCTTTAAAAAAAAAAAAAAAGATAATGCAAAATAAAAGCCAAAATGCAACACCAACCAGAATGGCTTAATTGAAAAGGAAAGAAAATACGGAGTGCTGGCAAGGATACAGGAAGAACAATTAACGCTTTCATACACTGTTGGGGAGTATAAACTGGTATCTACTAAAGCTGAACATACGCATATCTTGTGACCCAGCATTTCAGTTTTTGGATATATACGCAACAGAAATGTGTAAAAATGTTCATCAAAGACATGTACAAGAATGTTCATTGTAGCACTGGAATTGAAAACGATCCAAATGTTCAACAGATTGATGTACTCACTTAATAGAATCCTCTGTAGCAATGAGAATGAAAAAGTATAGCTATACAAAACAATATGGATAATTCTTATAAACCATGTTAATTCAAAGAAGCCAGACACTAAAGAGTACATACTATTTAGCTCCATTTACACAAAATTCATAAGCAGGCAAAGCTAACCTATGGTGTTAAAAGTCAGGAAGGTGTTTTGTCTTGGGAGGGATGTCATTTTGGGGCAAAATGGGGGACCTCTAGAGGAATGGTAATGTTTTGTTTCTGGCTATATAGGTATGGTCAGTTTGTGAAAATACATCTGTTCACTTCTGTATATATGTTATAAAATAAAAATTTTTAAAAGAGAACTATATTTATCAGCCTCTGTCTTAGACCAGTCAAGCTGCTATAATAAAATATCACAGACTGGGTAGCTTATAAACAAATAGAAATTTATTTCTCACAGTTCTAAAGGCTGGAAGTCTAAGATCAGAGTGCCAGCATGGTTGGTGACCCTCTTCCAGGTCACAGGAATGATTTCTTCTAGATCACTATCTCATGACACAATAAGGCTAGGGAGCTCTGTGGGATCTCTTTTACAATACTAATCCCAGGAATGCCTGGATGGCTCAATTGATTAAGCATTTGCCTTTGGTTCAGGTCATGATCCCAGGGTCCTAGGATTGATTCATGGGCTCCTTGCTCAGGGGGAGCCTGCTTCTCCCTCTGCCTGTCGCTCCCCCTCCTTGTGCTCTCTCTCTCTCTGGCAAATAAATTTTTAAAAATCTTAAAAAAAAAAAAAAGAATAGTAATCCCATTCATGAGGGCTCCACCTTCATGATCTAAGAACCTCCTAAAGGCCCCACTTCCTAATATAATCACACTAGCATTTAACATATAAATTTGGGTGGGGGGACATAAACATTCAGACACTTAATTGTATAGATGCCTCTTGCTTTCCCTTTTCAGAGAAGAAAAATCTTTTTTTTTTTTTAAGATTTTATTTGTCAGAGGAAGAGACAGAGAGCACAAGTAGGGGGGCAGCAGGCAGAGGGAGAAGCAGGCTCTCTCTCTGCTCAGCAGAGAGCCCAATGCAGGACTCGATCCCACGACCCTGGGATCATGACCTGAGCCAAAGGCAGACACTTAACCAACCGAGCACCTAGGCGTCCCCAGAGAAGAAAAATCTTAAGAGTTCTAATGGTTGGGAAAATTACTACAAGGAAGAGAACAATTCTTTGCTAAGTATAAAGAGGTGACACACCCTAATGTCCAAAGCCAAGAATTGAGATATAGAGATAATTTAAGTCAATTTAGGTAAAAATTAAAATCTAAAAAAGTGCTACAGATTTTATCTAATCTAACAGGCTGTCATTTTTTCAAACTAGTCCATTGTATCTTTGACTATCAGTGATGGTGGTGAGGAGATTAAAATCTCTAAACAGAAACTTGTATTTGACTCCCATTAAATTATTCAGTAACATTAACATTTCACTCTGAGGGAGTGAAATTATAGCTAAGAACTGAACATTGAGAAGGAACCAGTATATAAAGAGATGGGCTAGGAACAGTTCAGACTGAGGGAATGACAAGTGCAAAGGAGAGATGGGGGATAGGTGTTCTGGGAACTATGAGAAGACTGTGTGGCTGGCACATAGTGAACAGGGGAAGAGTGATATGTAGATGAAGTTGGAGAGCACCTGGAGGCCATATCTAAAGCTTTTTAGAGCATTATAAGTAGCTTGGATTTTTATTCTCAGCACAGTGGGAAGCCAGTGAATGGTTTTAAGCAGTGCGGTGATATGCTATGAATTTTCTTGCTTGTCTTGTTCTTCCCTTCTCTACTGTATTTCTCAATGTATACTCATTTCCCATTATGTATATGAGAACTCCTCAGAGAGGCTTTCCCTGAATACCCTATATAAACTAGCTCCCTTCCTACCAACTACTGCCTATCACACTGCCCTTTTTATTTTTTTCACAGCAGTTTTCACAATCTATAATTACTTTTAAAAATTTTGACTGTCTTTTCTATCTTTCCTTTCATTATTGTATTTATGCTGTTATTTAATGATTATTTTACTTATTTATCTTTAAAGATTTATTTATTTGAGAGGGAGAGTATACGTGAGAGAGTACACATGCACACGAGCTGGGAGAGAGGCAGAGGGAGAGAAACTCAAGCAGACTCAGTGCTGAGCCCCAACATGGGGCTCAATCTCACAACCCTGAGATCATGACCTGAGACGAAACCAAGAGTCAGAGGCTCCACTGACTGAGCCACCCAAGTGCCCCCATGATTATTCTTTAAAAAATGAAATTAAGGCTTTAAAAATTTTATCCATTATTTGGGGCACCTGGCTGGCTCAGTCAGTGGAGCATGCAACTCTTGGTCTTGGGGTCATGAGTTCAAGCCCCACGTTGGGCATGGAGCTTACTTAAAAGGAAAAAAAAATGTTATCCATGATTTGATCACTCTGACCAGAAAATATTCTCTTTATGCTCCCACTATAGTTTTACCTTATTAAGATTCTATACACTTGCAGTCACCACCTATAAAATATACATTCACACATATCTATGTAATACATCTTCTACTTTAAAAACAGGTAATTTTACTGATAAGAGTAATACAAAAATTACTCAAAATAATGTTCAGATGGATTACAAACCTAAATGTGAAAACTGTAACTTTTAAACTATTAGAGGAAAATTTAGAATATATTTTTCACTTTGGGATGGGAAAAATGCCTTAAGACTTAAGTAAGCCATAAAAAGCATAAAACAAAGAAAAAGATCAATACATATAACTACATTAAAATTAAAAATTCCTGTGAGTCAAAAGATAACACAAAGGAATAACACAGACTAGTAGAGAGCTACAACATACTTAATAAAAAAATCACACACAGGGGTGCCTGGGTGGCTCAGTCGTTGGGCGTCTGCCTTCAGCTCAGGTCATGATCCCAGGGCCCCGGGATCAAGCCCCGCATCGGGCTTCCTGCTCAGCGGGAGCCTGCTTCTCCCTCTCCCACTCCCCCTGCTTGTGTTCCCTCTCTCGCTGTGTCTCTTTCTGTCAAATAAATAAATAAAATCTTCAAAAAAAAAAGCACACACAGAATACATAAAGAACTCCTATAAATCCATTTGAACAAGACTATCAACTCAGTAGAAAAGCAGGTGAAGAATATGAGTAAGTAGTTCATAATAATCCAAAAGTCCAAAAAATTGGAAACCAAAAATAAATCAACAAACTCTCCAAAATGACACACCCTCAATTTAGAATTCATGTGTATGCAAAGTAAAATTAAGTGCCATTTCTTATACTTAAAATAGGCAAAACTTGCAGTGCCTGGCTGGCTCAGTCAGTAAAGTATGTGACTCTTGATCTCAGGGATGTAAGTTCAAATCCCACATTGGGTGTAGAGATTACTTAAAAAAAAATTAAAATTAAATAAATGAAAAATAAAATAAAAATAAGATTTTTTTTTTAAAAGGGCAAAACTTTAAAGGCTTCACAATATTATGTATTGGCAAAGAAGGAGACAACGGAAATTGCTACCTTGATGGAAGGAGGATAAAATTGGTACAACTACTTCAGAAATTAATTTAGTAGTTTCAATAAAAGAAAAATTAACAAAGCCTATAATCCAGCAATTCTAATAACAGGTAAATACATCCTAGAGAAACTCTCAAATGTACCTGGAGGAAATATGTACAAGAATGTCCACTGCAGTATTCACAACAGCAAACTCTTATAAACAAGATAAAAGTGCATTTATGAATTAATGGAGAAATCAAATCAGTGGAATATTATATAGGAATTAAGAGAAACAAACCAAATCTATGTGTCATCATGGATAGCTCTCAAAAGGGCCTGCAAAATGACAATATGCTATTTGTCTACATTTTAAAAAATCACACAAAACTATACTATATATTAATGTACTTCTATATGTGAAAAAATAGACTATTAAGATTCATACCAAATTCATGATAGTAATCATCTGCAGGGTGGTAGGAAATAGAAGTGTGTACTAGTTTCTCAACCTAAGCATTACTGATGCTTTTTTGTTGTTTTTTTTTTTTTTTTTTGATGCTTTTTTGTTAACAAAGGAGGCTCTCCTGTGTTAAGCAGGATGTTTAGGAGCATCCTTGGCTTCTACTCACTAGATGCCAGTAGCACCCTTTTGCCCCATGTTGTGACAGTCAAAATGTTTCCAGACATATTCCCTGAGGGGCAAAATCAAGAACCAGTGGGTAGAGAGAACAAAGAGAATTTCAACGTTCTTTGTAAGGTTCCTTTTATTTTATTTCATTTTATTTTATGTAATCTCTACACCCAATATGGGGCTCAAACTCATGACCACAAGATTAAGAGTCACATGTTCTACTGACTGAGCCTGCCAGGTGCGCCCTCGTTTATTTTATTTTAAAAAAGAATACAGGGGCGCCTGGGTGGCTCAGTCGTTGGGCATCTGCCTTCGGCTCAGGTCATGATCCCAGGGTCCTGGGATCGAACCCCGTGTTGGGCTCCCTGCTCGCTGGGAGGCCTGCTTCTCCCTCTCCCACTCCCCCCTGCTTGTGTTCCTTTCTCGCTGTGTCTCTGTCAAATAAATAAAATCTTTAAAAAAAAAAGTAATAATAAAATTAATAAATAATAAAAAAGAATACAAAAAGTGAAGAAAATACAAAAAAAAATGTTAAGAATTGTCAATTCTGGGTGGTAAGTACATGGGTCTTTATTATATTAGTCATTATTCTGGGGTTTTTTTTTTCCATCTAAAAAAGTCTATTTATGAACTACCATATGATCCAGCAATCCCACTTCTGAGTATACATCCAAAAGGATTGAAAATAGGGTCCTGAAGAGATAATTGCACATCCATGTTCAGAGCAGCACTATTCACAACAGCCAAAAAGTGAAAACAACTCAAATGTACATTGAGGGATGAATGGATAAACAAAATGTGGTGTATACATAAAATGGAATATTATTTAGCCTTAAAAAAGAAGGAAATTCTGTCATATACTACAACAGAAATGAGCCTTGAGAGCCCTATGCTATGTGAAATAAGCCAGGCACAAAAAGACAAATACTGTCTGATTCCACTTAGATGTAAAACAGTCGAATTCACAGAAACAGAAAGTAGGGGCGCCTGGGTGGCTCAGTTGGTTAAGCGGCTGCCTTCGGCTCAGGTCATGATCCTGGAGTCCCAGGATCGAGTCCCGCATCGGGCTCCCTGCTCAGCGGGGAGTCTATTTCTCCCTCTGACCCTCCCCCCTCTTGTGCTCTCTCTTTCTCATTCTCTCTCTCAAATAAATAAATAAAATCTTAAAAAAAAAAAAAAAAAGAAAAAAGAAACAGAAAGTAGAATGGTGGTTGACAGGGACTGGGAGGAGGAGAAAATGGGGAGCTATTTAATGGGTACAGAGTTTTAGCTTTGCAAGATGAAAATGTTCTGGAGATCTACTGCACAACAATATGAAAGTACTTTTAATACTACTAACCTGTACATTTAAAAATGGTTAAAATGGTAAAAAAATTTACCAATTGTACATCTTAAGTATGTGCAATTATATATGTATGTCAATTACACCTCAATAAAGCTGTTTTTTTTTAAAAACTATTATTGTTCATTGTAAAAATAAAAAATAGAAAATATAAGAGTATAAAGAGGAAAAATTAAAACACTTATTATCATATTACCTGAAGAAACACCAGTTTTAACATTTTCCTTATAGCATTCCTAGGTTTGTATGTGTATGTGTGTGAAAGTATGTTTGTGTGTATACAGAATAAGTAATTTTTAAACACAAAAAATCAAACATACATATTTTATTCATGCATTTTTCACTCAATATTTTATGAGTGTTTTCCCAAATTATATATTTTAGAGAACAATTTTATTAGTTGCATGGTATTCTATCAAATGAGGGAACCATAATTTTTTTTTTTATTAAAAATTTTATTTATTTTTTGACAGAGAGAGAGAGCGAGAGAGGGAACACAAGCAGGGGGAGTGGGAGAGGGAGAACCAGGCTTCCCATTGAGCGGTGAGGCTGATGCGGGGCTTGATCCCAGGTCCCTGGGATCATGACCTGAGCTGAAGGCAGATGCTTAATGACTGAGCCACCCGGTGCCCGAGGGAACCATAATTAGTTTAATCTTTCTCTTACTGTTAAACAGGTCAATTCAAATTTTCAAGTTTGTTTGCATGTTTCTTTTTTTTTTTTAAAGATTTATTTATTTATTTTAGAGAGGGAGAGCGCTGCGGGAAGGGGCTGAGGGAGAGGGAAAGAGAGAGTCCCAAGCTGACTCTCCGCTAACTGTGGAGCCTGACATGGGGCTCAGTCTCATGACCCTGGGATCACGACCTGAGCCGAAACGAAGAGTTGGTGGCTTAACCAACTGAGTCACTCAGGCGCCCCTGTGCATGCATTTCTGATTACTTTCTTACATTAGATTTTTTAGTCATATTAGTAAGTCAAAAGTATATGAACATTTCTATGGTTCTTTTTTTTTTTTTTTTTAAAGATTTTATTTATTTATTTGACAGAGAGAGACACAGCGAGAGAGGGAACACAAGCAGGGGGAGTGGGAGAAGGAGAAGCAGGCTTCCTGCAGAGCAGGGAGCCTGATGCGGGGCTCGATCCCAGGACCCTGGGATCATGGCCTGAGCCGAAGGCAGACGCTTAACAACTGAGCCACCCAGGCGCCCCCCTTTCTATGGTTCTTGATATATGCTGCCAAACTGTCCCCCAGAAAGCTTAAACCAATTTACATTGCCACCAATAGTGTACAAGAGGTTCCTGTACAAATACAACTTCACCATCACTGAGTATTCTATTTTAAAAATCTTTAACAATTTAAAATTATAGGCAATATCTCAGGGATTTAATGTGTATTTATTTGATTACCAGCAGAGTAACCAACCATCCTGGTTGGCATAGGACTTAGGAAAATCTCAGAATACTGGACCTATAGTGCTAAAACTGAGAAAGTCCCAGGCAATTAGGGTGACAAACTGGTAAAGAAATATCTTTTAATGTTTATTGGTCATTTGTGTTTTACCTTTTGCTTGTGATGCTTCTTGCTTATTTTATTCTGCTTGATAAAAGGCTTAAGTCTCTATTCTTTTCCCTTTAACTTAACATTATTTTGCAAATACTTTTCCACATTTTTTTTTTAACTTTTTTTAAAATTTTATTTATTTATTTGACAGAGAGAGACACAGCGAGAGAGGGAACACAAGCAGGGGGAGCGGGAGAGGGAGAAGCAGGCTTCC